GGCGAGGAGGGGAAAGGGGCGGGAGGGAGACGGTCACTTGGCGCGCTGGGATGTCAACGAACCCCGGGGTTCGCTCCGTTTCTTCTGGGGGTCTCCTCGTCATGCGTTTAATTCCACATACATGCACGTACACATTTCCCTCTTGTTCATTTACGAGCGTGTAAATGACCCGTGGTAACGCATTGTGCATCTCATTCCGGGGGGTTTCAGGATGTCTCATCAACACCCGGGGAATTTTCTCGGGCCATTGTCTTGGGAAGATCGTTCATGAGGGCTCGGGGTATATATTTTGTAGGCTGAATTATCAGTGATATTGAACAATGTCGAGCATTAGTATTGATTCGATACACCATCACCACAAAACCCCAAAATTACTCCAGGAATTCCTCCCCCCTTCGGTTGAATATACTGCACCTGAAATTTATTGATTTGATGAATATCGTTACGAATCTCCAATTTCCCCAATTGCATTTTACTGTGAAAGAATTATTTTCTTTCCTCCAAACCTCTTCTCTGGAGTTAGCGTCTCTCAATTGTCTTCATTCATTCTTTTTCTTCATTTTGACGTTTCAACATGTAATTTATCTCTTGCCCCATTTCAGTTTAATAAACATTAATTAATAAATATCGACGTGCTGTTCGATATCAACTGTCACGCGTTGAGATGTCAAAATACCACTAAAAAATTCAGTCTAAACGTTTATGGAAGTCACAGTTGTCATCTGATTTGAATAAAATTGGGCTCATTATGTTTTTTTTTTTATTGTTGTTCATTATGTTCGTTGGAACATTCTCTATCGACTCACCCCACGTCTCTCCCATTATTTTTCGTATTTTTATTTTTACAGTCGTATTTTCACATGACAATCCCAATGATTTTTTCACCAACAGTCATAATTATGGCAGTGTCTATTCGCACACCCCACGGTAAATTTTACCGTGGATTCAAAAATCATATGCACTATATTTCGGCACCCACTCCTGCACTCGGACCCCATTAGACAAATATGAATATCGTTAAGAAAACGTTCACATAAAATATAAAAAACTATTCGTTTCATCTTTTATTTGGGTATAGTCAATTATTTATTTCATTTTTTATTTGCGTTAATCTATACTGACATTCGTATTCGAGAAAATTGTTTACTAGTCTACTATCTCCATATCACCTATCAATTGATTCGATGTGTCTAGTTTATTGTTTAGATTTAATTTGAGAAGCAAAAGTTGATTTGAAAAGTTAATTTGAGAAGCGAAAGTTACGGTCAAAGTTACCGTGGAATGTGTGAATAGACACTGCCCATAATTATTCATTACTGTATTAATCTCCAAATAAATTGTTCCAACTTGATAGAGGATGTTCCAACGAACAAAATCCAGTAAGAGTGCGTTGAAATCCGATGAAACGCGCCCCTTGAATAAACATTCATGAACTGAATTATCAACATCAACAATCATTCATTACAACTACAAATATCTCAATTCCCCGAAATGAAGTAAAGATCGATTCTCCCTGACCTCTCTCTCTCTCTCTCTCTTCCAATTTCCAATTTCACCACGCAATACTCTGGCATAACGCAGACCTTTATGTAACACGCGCACTCGGCCGCTCATACTCGGTAATTAGCCAGCCGGATTCGATGCAACGGATGCCCTCGTAACTCCAATGCAATATACCATTGCGTTAAACTCCTGTTTGAATTAATTTATTCCACTGCAAAGACTGCATTACGAGAATCACCCGCATTTCCTCGAGCAATAAAATATACCCCCATTTTTTATTAATATTTATTTTCCTGTTAATTAATGAATAACGCGGAAAAATGGGAAATTGGTCATTTGAAATTGTTCAAAATTATCATTATTTCGAAACTATTCGTTTAAAATTATCTAAAGTTATTACTATTGCGAAATTATGCGTTAAAAAAATTTCTCTTTCTCATTAATGTTTTTTAAAAATTATTTTTGCCATGAGCAATCATAGTCGATGTTAATATTTCCTCAAGCCTTCGTCTCATCGTAACAATGAGTTTTGCTATTCGCATTTAACTGTAAAGAATTCGTGATTAATGAACCACAACGCAAGAGTTATTCCCTCAATGCTCAAGCATGAGAAAAATCCCGGAGGGGGAGTAAAAAAAATTGATTGAGTGAGGAATTAAACGTGTAATAGTCGAGAAAGGATTGAAAATAATGGGCTTGAGGGTAATGTACCACCTACACAGTTGACTGGCTCTCATTTCCGGTTTTCGCTTTCCTTTGATTTTGCAGGGGATTCAGCGTCAGTGTGTGCGGACGACAGCACATCTTCAAACCCGTCTCGGTGCAGGCCATGTGGTGAGATATTATTATTGTTATTATTATTATTATTTATAGATTTTTTCAGCGATTTGAGTAATCTGAGTGATTTCAGAGGAGTCTCCAGTTTTTTTTAGGAAAAGTCTTTTTATTTTATTTTATTTTATTCCGTTCATTTCTTCATTTTTTGGGTTTATTTTTAGTTTTGGATGTTTATTTGTGCAAATATTGATTTATTTCAGTTTATTAGTCTAATATAGCAATAAAAACAGGCAGTGCGACAGAAGCCATTTGACTGATACTCTCGACGTTTTTTTTTCTCGTATTTTCATTTCTACCAATTTCATTGGTCGTAGGCTTCCGAATGGATCCCAATGTATGTTTTCAAAAAATGAAGGCATAAGAATTGCCATTTTTTGAAAATATTAACGCCAATCCCAGTCAGTAATTCCGGAGCGAAATGTGGTTGTAGGAAATTTTACGGAACTGTCACGGAATTTTTCCAGAGCGTCTCTTAATTTTTATCTGAATCTCCTGTGAAAAATCACGATACCGTCACTTAAATTTTCTGAGTCGATTCCGTAATCGGTGAGCGAACTTCGAGCTCCGTAATTTTGACTGAACATTTTTTTGCGTGTGACACTTCTAGGAATTTTCGTCCAAAAATAAGAAATCGAAAAAAATCACGATTATAAAGCTTCCATTTGGACGCAAAAAGGGTTTTTACATGAGGAATTGTGAATAATTGTGCATCGAGAATGATAATTTCCTTGGAAAACGTGGAATAAATATTGATATTGGGAGCTTTGAATTCACTCCTGACAGTTTCCGACGTTTGTGCATGCAAATGACATGCACACGAGAACTCAGACTCATTGTTGGGGTATTATTAACAACAATTTTGATCGCAGTGACATTGAATACGGTGAACAGAGAGGATTAGATAAATACCGGTGGTTATGTGATGGACGTTTATGATGGTTTCAATTGAGAATGTGCAGGAGTGAACTGGGTAATAGTATAAATGTCCATGGCTTGACTGGAAGTATTCAAGGAGATGAGTTTATGCAATTGGATTTGTGATGTGTATTTCCAGCTGTAATCGACTGAGATTTTTTCGTATGTATCTCGGAATTCGAAGGGGTCAGAGAAAAATGTCAAAAGCGCTTTCTTGTGGCTCACAAAATTCTGTACAAAAAATGTCTCTTGATAAATATCTCTGAACCCCTTCCCTCCGAAGATATCAGCCAAATAATCGAGAATAAAATTCAGTTGTGAAGTGGTGAAACAGGATGAGTCAAGTCAACTTCAGCCTGAGTTTTTGATGAATATCTCTGAATCCAAGGGAGATGGCGAAATTTTCATGAGGACCTTTTTTGTAGATCTCACTTCGCTCTGCAAACAAGGTCTACACAAAAATTTCGCTATCTCCCTGGGATTCCGAGATATTTTCCAAAAACTGATCTGTTCAAAGTAAAATTGACTCATCCTGCTTCACCACTTCCCTGTTGAAATACAACAATTCAGTAGTGAAGTGAGCTTTTGATGAATATCTCTGAATCAAAGGAAGACATCGAAATATTCATAAGAACTGTCTCTCGACATTTTCCCCTGAAACCACTCATCATTGAGACGATTAAATATTCAACAAGACGTGGACAATTGACTCGTCACGTTTAACCACTTCACAACTGAATAACTCTCCAATATTCCATACAGATTACTTCGCAAATATCTCGGAATCCAATGGGTGCAGAGAAAAATGTCAGAAGCGCTTTCTTGTGGCTCACAAAATTCTGTACAAAAAATGTCTTTTGATAAATATCTCTGAACCCCTTCCCTCCGAAGATAGCCAAATAATCGAGAATAAAATTCAGTTGTGACGTGGTGAAACAGGATGAGTCAACTCAACTTCAGCCTGAGTTTTTGATGAATATCTCTGAGTCCAAGGGAGATGGCGAAATAATCATGAGGAACTTTTTTGTATATCTCGCTTCGCTCCCTAAAAATGAACTCCAATCCCTCACAAAAGAGATTCTATTCTCTCCCCCCAACTCTATCAACAGAAATAAAAAACAAAATGAATCACAAGAACACTCCTTCAGGCGATCCACGAGAAAAATATTGAATCTCTCAATTAATCTCTGTAGAATGGTGCTTTGAGGCAGTCGTGGGGGCTTTTAGACCCGAAAGCTCCTCTCGTGCTATTTCTGGCAGATTGTGAATATAGAGTGGCCACCAGTTACTACCACGTGGTATCCCTCACAAAGGTGGGGTTTAGAGGGAAGTTAAAGCCAACCGCCCGCGCCATTTATGGGCCGAGATAACGTTTGCAAAGGTGCCACCATTATTTTTGGGCACTCGGGGAGAGTCTCACCCGTGATTGACACCAAAGAAACTTTTTCGTCATCGAAAATCATTGATCCCCTCCATATCGCAAGACTCGAGAAAATTTTTTGAAATTTCTTCATTTCATTGGTCAGAGTTGGAATAATAAAAGTGTCGAAGAGGGGTTCAACAGAAAAAGGGCCAAAGTGCCTCAGTATCTCCGGAGAAATTCATAAATCGATTGATAATTAAACACTGAGTGAACGAATGTCGTCAGCCCCTTTGAATATTCTCCGTAGAAGGTGTTATTCTACTTTTATTCTTTGTTTTTGTACTTCAAGACTGACGCAACTTTTGGGGGCAATCTCAATTTTTAATGAACTCAGTGACAAAAGATCGAATGCGTGACAAATTTATAAATAAAAATGCGTAGATGATTCCTAAATACTAAATTTGGCGAACGATTGCTGAGAAAAATACCATTTGAATTACTATTTTAAATATTCGTGACTAATTACTGTTTTGCAATCATCAAACATCATGAAAAAAATTGTATTTAAGTAGTTTGAATCGATGACATACTATTTCAAGTAATTTCTGTTTTCAACTGATGAAATAGTATTTAAATAGTTCGATTGACGAAAATACAGTTTGAAATAATTCACTGAAGTTTTTTGAAATTCGTTCATTTCATTATTCAAAGTTTGAATAATAAAAATGTTGAAGGGGATTTCAACAGAAAAAGGGCCAAAGTGGGAAGTTCATAAATCGATTGATAATTAAACATTGAGTGAACGAATGTCGTCAGTCTTATTGAATATTCTCTCAAGAAGTTTTTTATTCAACTTTTATTCTTTATTTTTGTACATCAAGGCTGATGCCACTTTTAAATTGGAAGCCCCTTGTTTAGCTTCCTGGCTTCCATCTTCATTAACTAGTAGTGACAAAAGATTTGATACGTGACAAATGTAAAAATAAAAATGCGGAGATCATTCCAAAATACTAAATTTGGTGAATGATTGCTGGGAAAAATACCGTTTGAATTACTATTTTAAATATTCGTGACTGATTACTGTTTTGAAGTCATCAAGCATCATGAATAAAATAGTATGTAAATAGTTCGACTGAGAAAAATACTCTTTGAACTAATTGATGATAATTTTTTGAAATTATTTCATTTCATTTCAAAATATTTTCGTAGCTGCGACACATCCATGTCCGTAAATTCAGACGATTATTCATGATTCATTAGAATTTCATAACTTCCATAGCTCAATGGAGATGATGAAGCACACAAGAGGGAAAATCCTCAAGTAATATGCATGACAATCAACTTCTTCGGCACAAAAAATCATATCTCATGTGCACACAAATAGTGAAAGACAAAATCCTGAAGCATTCTCGAACTCAACAACTCGCACACTAAATTCCCTTGTGCAATTACGTTTTTTTTTTCAATTTTTTCCCCTCAATTTTTCGTTCCTTCCCCCAAGTTAAAAGAGAAAGAATGGCCTCCGGTGTTACAGTGCCTTATCTCCTTTTAAAAATCTCCAGCAAAGAAGCCCGAAGCCTGGCTCCGGTTGAACTGGAACGACCAGGAAAAAAAAAAAAAAGAACGAGAAGCGTACAATTTAATGCAGTGGCGAACTGGGCAGTGGGTCAGGCGGCCGTATCCCATTCACCAGACGTAAAATCATCTCGACCGTTTGCTTTTCAACGTCTGAAAAATTTTTCATAATACCGATTTTTGCGGCATTGGACTATAGCCCAAATACAAAATACGTGGACAATTCCATTTATTATAAATTAGTATAGTTATTGTTGTTAATAAATTAGCAATTTGCTTCCGAATGGATTCTCTGTTTTTAAATTCTTATTTATATTTCATATCGTGAATTTTTATATTTTACGATAAAATCCATTCTCTCTCAATTCAGATAAACTTATAATTCATTTTTCATTTCTTTTATTTATTATTCTTCCTCTCGATTGTGATTATCATATTTTTGAAAATGTTAATGTTGTAAATGTGATAATGAAAATTAATAATTTCTCAAGTAGTTTAATCCCATCGCCTCCTATAATTTTCCAATCAATTTTTTTTTCTTTGAAGTTTACGATCGTCTGAGGTTGAATTTGCAAATAATTTTTTTTCTCTTGCTCCACCCATTGCCGACGGGTTGTACCACGTATTACATGATATTCCGGTTGGATACCGTTAGGAGTACGTGAACTTCTCCGCAAACTGTTATCTCTTATGGGCATTTTCGTAATAAAGAAATTCACATTTTCGAGTTGTTGAATAACTCATCGATCCTCGAATTGTACACAAAACATTATTCAAGTATTCAGCGATCACTCTTTTATTATGCAATTTTTAAATTGTTCTTTTGTTTTTTGAACCCTTCAATTTTTTTTTCGAAAAATTTATGAGGATCGAAAATTAATCTTGTTCAATCGTCGTTATCTCTCGGCTGAACGATGCGAGTTCAACAATTTTTTTTTCATTTTAAACCCCGAACAACCCCTCCAAAATGAAAGAAAAAATTATTGAAACATTTTTATTGAAAAATCCTCATTTTAATTCCCTCTTTTAAAATCGATATTTGTCGACTGAAGGAAATAATTCGATTTTTTTATTTTGAAGACTGAAAAAATCTTTTAAAATGAAAACGAAATTATTGATTTAAAAAATTATTGAAATTTACTCAACCGATCTCTAGTGATTACTGATTAAATCCCTTCATTTTCAGTTAAAAATTTTAATTTTAAATCTCTACCTTTTTTTAATCATCGATATTTTTCGACTGAAGGAAATAATTAGATTTTTTTATTTTTAAGACTATAAAAATCCGTCAAAATGAAAAGAAACTTGTTGAAATTTACGCAGCCGATCTCTAGTCATCAATAATTGAAAAAGTTTAATTTTTAATTCTTCAAAAAATCCGCTTGTCGAAAGCAATTTTGACTTTGTAAAAAAATTCTGAAATTTAAAAAAAAAATCGGTGCGCTTGGCAGCCCTGGTACTGCCTATATATGGACCCAGTACTCTGCCATATCACCCCCTACCACACGTGTTAACAACAAACCTATTACTGATTTCTGACTTCTTGGCAGCGATCAGCTGCAGTCGTTTTTATGTATTCAACTGTGCGCCCTCGAACGCGAGATGAAAAAAATCAATATTCTCGTTTATCGAATGAACATCCGATCATTAAACATCCCATAAACCCACGTATTCATAATTTTCCCCGGGAAAGAGTGAATGAATGACCCAAAATTCTTGTCCAACACGACTAAAATGACAAATGAAAAATACAATTTGTTGAGTGATTTACGAAAATAGAATAGAATAGATGATTGTTTGATGCGGAAGTGTTGTGTTATTAGTGAATATAATTTTTGACAGTTGGTGAAAATGCGATGGGCATTCGCGAGGTCAGAGAGACCTCGATGATCCAAGAATAGACGACGAAACAGAACTAACTGTAAAGCCGACATGCTACTGCATGTGCAGGATATTCTCATATTTTCATTGCCATTTGCATTGATTTGGTGGATGAGGATTTGGGAGGGGCTGTTGTCCATGGTCACGTGTCCTGGGAGGATCGCCTGGTAATTAATTCCTTCGTTAATCAGAGAATGTGTCCGAATTTTCAACGAAAGAAAATCGAAATTTTGGAAAGATTTCGTTGAGGTGTTTCGGGATTTGCGCGTTTAGCTTGGTAAGGAGTGGGTTTAGGGGAAAATGTCATAAAAACTTTTTTGTAGAGAATTAAATTTGCTAGAAAAAATGTTTTGTGGGATTTTATTGTCAATTCAGTCATTATCGAGATATTTTGATTTTAAAGATATGAAAAAAATTTATTTTTGTTTCAAAAGCTGCTGAACATTTTTGTTAATTGTTGGTTTATCTCGATAATAAGTTGTTTTAGGGGGAAATGTGATAAAGACTTTTTTGTAGAGAAGTAAATTCCCTGCAGAAAATGTTTTATCCCATTTTGTCGTAATTCCATCCATCAACTGTGTAAAAATATCCGGAGAAAAATAAAACTTGGAATTGAATCAGCAAATTAATTCGCTTTCTCCGTGCCCTTGAAACTCCTCGAAATACTAGAAATTACGTTGACCCAGGTCTATCACACGTCCACGCAAATGTCAAGATCAGATGAATCACTTGGTTGTAGCTCAGGTGAAAGTTGGGGGGACGTTAGGTCGTTGGTGTCACGCTCGAAAGAAAGAGAACAAAAATTGTGGAAAAAAAAATCATAAGAATAGTGCGCAGCCAGTAGGTCGACGAATAAAATGGAAGAAGCGTTTCTTTGTGCGTCTTTGTTCACGTCTGACACTTGTTCTGGTGAAAATTCAATGAGAGAGTCAACAAAAAAAAACATTTAAAAAAACACTTTTTTCTGTTCCATTTCTTCTTTCACTTTTTCATTTCAATTCATTATTTCAAATTCAATTCACGAAGAGAAAAAAACTGCGAAAATATAAAAATTTATGCTTCTTACGGACATACACCATTTTAATACAAAAATTTATTAGATATTTTGAAAGACGAAAAATTTATTAAAAAAAAATTAATTCAATTTTCAAAAAGAAAAAAATATATTTAAAAAATTAGAATTCGGGTTATGTTTGGACATACGCCCATTGACTTTTGATTTTCATTTAGAATAAGAAAAGTTGTAAATAGAAAATACAAGAATTCACTAGATATTTGAAGAGACAAAAAGAATTGAAAAACTTTTTTTTTTTTTCATTTTATTTTGTGAGAAAAATTGCAAAAATAATTTTTTTTTCCATTTTCAAGATCAAAAATGGCAACTTTTCACATTCTTCGTCATTCCCAGCCGTTCAAGGCCAACTGCATTGGAGAACACGCGGGATTCCAGGCAAACACTGATTTATCGTTGCATCCAGCGATCGTGTAATTTTTTTTCCACTATTTTTTTTTTGTTATTCCGTATTATTTTTTCATCTTGGGTCTGCATATTCTCTGCTGCGTCGATTTGTTGCGTGTTTCGAGTGGTCTTGACCTCGCATACCGGTAAAAACGTAGAGGGTTTTGAGGGGTTCTGTTGAGTTGAGTAGAAACGGACGATGAGAAATAGTGATTTACGTGAAAATTGCTTGGGAAAAAAAAAAAAAATGTGGAATTTCGCGCCATTTGCATTATTGTTTGGAATATTCATGACTACTTGCTATAAAGTCATTAAATATCGGGAGAAAGATTTTAATTGGTCCGTTTAGAAATGACAGCGATCTTTTCAACGTGAAATGATCAATTTTTAGTCCATTTTTTTTTCAAAAACAGGGCTCTGACGTGGAAATGATCTACTTCGCAATGTTGTGTGCCAATTTGAAGTAATGAATAATATTTAAATAGTTCATTTGAAAAAAATACTGTTCGAAATAATTTTTTTTTCATTAAATTAGTTCGAAATAATTGATCGCAATTGTTAACATATTTAGAATACCCAATCAAATAGATAATAAATAAAAAAATAGCTAGCAAAATCTATTCAAAACAGCATTTCCACTTCTCCACTCCACCTCATCAGATAGTCCCCAGTTAAACAGAAAATGCGCAACTCAGTTTGGGAATTGTTTCTCGAGAGGCGCAATTTAACCGAGAAAAGATGTATTACCCGTAATCCAATAGTTGCGGTTAGCCCGGGAAGTTGTGAATTCCATCCCAACCTCAAGCCATCCGCACGGAAGCCCCAACCACGTGAAACACACTTCAATACCCAATACACAAGTTGATAATTACATTTTTTTACAAATGAGTATAGTTACTGTTGCTAATAAATTAGCAATTCGCTTGCGGATGGGTTGTCTTCTTTTAAATTCTTATTTGAAAAAAAAATTGAATTTTAATTGGTATCAATGAATAGAGCTGATTAAAGTCGACATTCATGAAAAAATTACTGAAATTCGATTGTTTCCTTATAAGAAAATTTCGGAAAAAGTGGAGAAAGAAGACCTCATATATATTATACATGCAGACACCGTCCAAAAATCGCATATTCGGATTTTTAAGCCACACTTGGTTACCCTAACGCAAGCGAAAATTGGAAACTTATATTTGAGCGATGACAAAGCTTCCATTCGGAAGCAAAACAGATGTCAACAATGTCGAGTCTTATCCAGAAATGCTTTCTGTACTCTCGATGTTATATTAATTTCATTGCGATTTTTATTGTCACGCTGACGAGACAGTGGGTGTATATGTATACTAGGTATATCTCATTACAGAGGAATTCTCGTGTTACAAGTTTAGTTATGAAAATGCGTCAGCGTTGGATAGAGAGATCCCCTTTTTTATTCCAGAGATATTTTCGTCGTTTTTGAATTTCTACCGCGTCTTAATTTCTTCATTCTTCATTCTTCTTAGCTCAGGGGATCTCCAAGTATTCTAGCTATTTTTTTCTCTTTGATATTTGATGCTCTGACGGTGGAGGAGGTGTTTCTGTTCGTGATAATGCCGTTTCCCACGGGATTTTGCAATGATTCTTCATTTAATTATTTGTGAAAATATTTTTTTTGCAGGTCAGCACTGCAGACTCTCCACAAAGTCTCGAGCAAAGCGAGGGAGCAGAATTATTTTGCTGGTGGTTTGTCACACGATTGGGTCAGCTACTATGAGCAACGTATCGCGAGTGATCGCTCGTGTCTCAACGAGTGGAACGCCATGGATAGTCTTGAGTCCAGAAGGCCACCATCGCCTGACAGTGTCCGCACGAAGTTAGTATTGATTTTTTTTCAATTATGGGGAGAGGTCTTCCAGAGAGTTGACTTTGAGATGGATGAGTTTTTGGAAAATGTTGGTATTTCCCTCGGATTCAGAGATATTCAGCAAAAACTCAGACTGAAGAGTTGATTTATCCTGTTTCACCACGTCACAACTGAATTTTATTCTCGATTATTTGGCTGATATCTTCGGAGGGAAGGGGCTCAGAGATATTTATCAAGAGACATTTTTTGTACACAATGTTGTGAGCCACAAAAAAGCGCTCTTGACATTTTTCTCTGAACCCATTGGATTCCGAGATATTTTCACAGTAATCTGTATGAAATTTTGGATAACATTCTCCCATTAAAAACTCGCTTCACGACCGACTTCCTTCACTTTAAACTGCAAATTGAGACTCAACATTTTTTTTTATCCCCAACTCTCTAATATTTTTTCCCGTCAAGACCCAGAGAACGCGAGGAAACTGAACGGGTGATCCGTGCGACACTGAAAGAGATAATGATGTCAGTGGATCTCGACGAAGTGACATCCAAGTACATCCGTGGGAGGCTCGAGGAGCAGTTGGATATGGATCTAGTTGAATTCAAGCCATTCATCGATCAAGAGATGCTGATTATTCTTGGTCAGATGGATGCACCCACCGAGATATTCGATCACGTCTATTTGGGGAGCGAATGGAACGCCAGTAATCTAGAGGAGTTGCAGAAAAATGGGTAAATACCTTCAATTTTTATAATTAATTCCAATTTCCGATATTTCCTTTAAAATCCATTCAGTAAAGACAATTTAATGATCAGCAAAACGTGAAAAATTTACGTTTATGTTGTTTTTTTGTGTAATAAACATTAAATAAACTTTATGCTCATCAAGCAAAAATCTTTATTCAACATCAACACTCATTTTTATCTACGTTTTTATTTACATTAAATAAACCGCTTGATTAATGAAAAAGTTTCATTCAAATAAATCCCTTAATTTATCAATCTCCAGAAAAAATATCGAAATGACTAGAATGATTTTTTGAAGATGAGAAAATACTTGTCTTCAGTTATTCTCTCAAAAATCCAATTAATAAAAAAATTGACTAATTAGCAATTTTTTCTGTACTCGATTTGATAAAAAATGTAAATACCCCATTAATGAGTGAATTTATAACACTTCTAACACGAATTATCCATTCCGCACTAACGAAACCATTTTCATCAAAATAAATAAAAAAAAATCCCGATTTTCCAATAAATTGTCCCCAAATGCTTCCAGCGTTCGTCACATTCTCAACGTGACCCGTGAGATCGACAACTTCTTCCCAGGAATGTTCAACTACCTCAACGTAAGAGTCTACGACGACGAGAAAACAGATCTCCTGAAGCACTGGGACGACACCTTCAAGTACATCTCGAAAGCCCGAAAGGAGGGCTCAAAAGTCCTCGTTCACTGTAAAATGGGTGTCTCTCGTTCAGCCTCAGTGGTGATAGCCTACGCGATGAAGGCCTACAACTGGGACTTCTCCCAAGCCTGGAAGCACGTGAAAGACAAACGCAACTGCATCAAGCCAAACTCCTCATTTCTCTCACAACTGGAGACATACCAGGGAATTCTGGACGCCATGAAGAACAAGGAGAAACTCCAGCGTTCGAAGTCAGACACAAATTTAAAATCGCCGACACGTTTGCACCGTTCGAAGACGAATCCTGACGACGAGAAGACGCCCCATCCCATCCTGACGTCGTCCTCAGGGACTTACCTGAAGAAAAGAGGACAGAGGCCAAAGAGTTGGTCGCCCCACGTGGAGCTGCAGGACATTCTCCCCGCAGTGACCCTCTCCCAGTCCCTGGAGAACATTGACAAGACATCTGGAGTGGCACGAGAGGACTTGCTGAGGCCCCAGAGCAACCAGAAGCAGGGCAACGTCCTCTGCCTGATGCCCTGCCTCAACGGCCAGTCATACAGTGTCTCCCAGAACCAAATAGTCCACCTGGAGGGGTCAGAAACCCCAACGACAACCTCCAAGATCCCCAAGAAGTTCTCATACTTCAAAAAATCCCCACAGCGACAGAAACGTCGAGGTCTAGTTCTCAATCTCACTAATCAGTTTGAGGCAGCTGGAAGCAAGCCTGGCACCCCTGAGGACGCTCAGGGATCGCCAGAGGGTGACCAGAAGCCTCTCCAGAGGGAGAACTCCCAGAAGAATTCCCTGAATGATGATAAAAACGTTAAAATCATTCTGACCAATGAAATTAGCCAGATTCAGAGGGCAGAGAACGACTCTAAGAGGCTAGATGTATCACAGAAGTGGTGCAACACACCCAGGAAGCCCTCGAAACAGGAGAGAGCCTCGCCAACTGGTGGTGATAAGCAAAAACAAGAGCAGAAGGAGAAGTGTGAAAATTGCGAGAAGCCTCAGAAGAGAAAATTGAAGAAGGAGGATCCATTCTCAGCTCATGTGGACAAGGTTTTTGATAGAGAGGAGAGACGTGATCCCTCGAGGGAGTCACCGAGTCGTCAGAGCTCCTGGAGCTCGTACGATTCAGCTGTGGGATTGGATACGAGTGTTCACACGTCCTGGGGGACTTTGCCATCTAGGAACAGCTCCTGGGGGTCTTACGACATGAGGGGGGATCCCAGGGATCCACTGGGCTCGAGTGGACTCTTTCCTTATGACAGGGAGGAGATTCCCTGGCATCCGGGAACAGTCAAGAGGACGAAACAGAAGCTGGAGGAGGGAAATGTCAAGAGGGTGTGCACCCAGGTGGAGGATGACAAGAGGGATGAGGTGTCCAGTACTGATGGGATTCAGGAGGATATCATGGGGTTCAGGGGCTCACCCACTCTTGGGAGACGAGGGGGCGGCAAGGGAGAGGGGCTGGGGGAGGGCTCCAGGGGGATTGAGATCAGGGACAGCTTGAATCATCAGGTTGGTTGTGAGAATTTTAATTGGAGAGTTATTTTTGGTGGAATTGGGGTGGGGAGTGGGTATTGTTTGAGAATATTTCTGGGTCCCATCGATTATCAGCTTTAGGGAGTTCTGGGGGTGACGAAATTCGTGTGGATGATGAATAATTGGCTGGAATATTTTTAATATCTTTATTTTGAAGATCTTTTATTAATATTTTTCATCGATTTATGATTTTCTCTGGGGATACCCACGCAGTGTGGCCCATTTTCTGCTGAAATCCCCACATTTCTATCATTCAAACGTTAAATAATAAAATCAAATAATTTCAAGAAACTTCGATCAATTATTCATCAGTAATTCAAATGGAATTCCACCCAGAAAATGAAAAACATCATCATCAATCATCGTGAATTACAAATTTATCAACATAATCTCAGTTCTCCCGAAATAATTCTCTCAATCTTTAAATTCCCCAGGTGGACAGACTATCGACATCAGCGCCAGTTCCCTCCTCCCTCCTGGAGCACAATGCCCTGGGCACCCTGAGAACCTGCAGATCGGAGAGTGAGACCTCCAACCAGGTAGTGGACACCACCCAGTGCCCCTCGGTGAAGCACCACAAGATGATTCTCGAGAACTTGAACAACAAATCCAAAAGGTGTTTCCCCGGTGAGGACTCCCCGGAGGTGATCTCCTCCTCCTCGTCGTCGTCCTCCTCCTCCGAGGGTCACCGAGGTATCCCCGGCATCGTCAAGAACCTCAAGAAGGAGTTCGAGGCCAAGTCCACGAGGTTCGAGCGCTCCCCCGAGGGAACCGATGAGGAAAAGTGGTCCAGAAAGGAGGGAAAAACGAAAGTCAGAAGTCTTCCATCATCACCAGTGATTGCTCACAACGACGGAAAAATTCGTGGCAAGATGGAGGGGGAGGAGAGCCATGGGAAAACTGTCCTGAAGAGCAATGAGGACCTCTCGGTGAGGGTTCTCGTCGATAAATACGAGAAACCCGGGGTGAAGATGCGAGGGGAGGTGCATCCCCCTGCCAAGAGTAAAATTGCAACACATGAATTTGCCAGGCGATCAGCACCCGTTACCATGACCTCTGCGAGCTTCATGGAGGAGGGGGAGAGGGGGCGGCCGCCTGTTGGGGGGTGCCAGGGGGTCATTGCCACGGTTGTGGCGAAGGCTGCTAGCAAGAAGCAGCAGCAGCATGGGAGGACTCATCCACTTGCTAGGCTGCAGGTCAGGCCTAGGCTGGGGCCTCTGTATAATACTATGTAAAGGGGGGGGCAGGGTCTTTGTATAAGATACCCATGAGGGCGAATGGAGTTGATTGAGACTCGAGACCTCTTGATTTCAGTGTTTCCGTCGGTCGGGGTTGTGTTCAAAAATTAGAAAGGACTTCGAGGGGCGATGGAGTTTAAACGCGTGTTGAGGCGACGTTGAGAGCCCTCTGGAGGATAAAAACTATGAATTCTCGACCTAATGGGGATGGGAAAATGTGAAAGATGCCTCAAAAAATTTGTTCATTCTTTAAAAATTGAATGAAATTGATTAAAAATTATTGGAAAACGATATGTAATTTTAAGAAATGTTTATAAGTATGAGGTGGGGGCGTCGCCATCTTGGAAGCCTCTTGGGGTATCTAAACAAGATGGCGGCGCTATGATCTCATCTCGTATTTTTGAATGTCTATTAGAATTATTTGTTCTCTTTGAATTAATTTCAACTCATTTCATTCAGGTTCTGGGAAATGAATGAATTTTTAAAGTTATTTTTAAGATTTTTTCATCCTTGTGTGGCTGAAAATCACTTGGGGTTGTGTTGAAAAATAAAAAAGGACTTTGAGAGGTGAGGCAATGTTGACAGCCCTGTCAGCATTGAACAAAGGGGATGGAAAAGTGCGAAAGATGGCTCTAAAGATTTGTTCATTCTTGAAAAATTGAATGAAATGAATTAAAAATAATTAGAAAACGATATATAATTTTAAGAAATGTTTATAAGTACGAGGTGGGGGCGTCGCCATCTTGGAAGCCTCTTGGGGGATCTAAACAAGATGGCGGTGCTCACAACTGTCGCCCACCTCGCATTTTCGAATACTTCTTAAAATAATGTATACTCTCCAAATTATCTTCACTTTGTTTCATTCAGTTTGCAAAAAGTGAATAAATTCTCCACGTTATTCTCACTATTTTTTCATGACTTTTTGCACGAAAATTCACGACTCGAAGATTTCTCAAGTCCTTGGAGATGAAGATTTCATTGAATAAGGGAACAAGACGAGACAGGTATCTTATATTAAGAGTCGACTGTAAAATCTTCTAGACCCCAGACTCATGTCAACCAAAATTTTTAGAAAAAAAATCTGAAAGAGTTTTAGGTGTTCTTGAGAAAGGGGGTGGGGACTTACTGTCTGTGTGATCTCTTCAGCGCCATTTTATAAATGCACGAATACTCAAGTACAGAGGGTCCACACACTAAACAATTAATTAGTCAAGTGGAAAACAAAACGAGTCGCTCTCTCCGCAAAAAAATCCAAAATCGTTCTAGTGTGTGGATCAGGAAAGGAGAAGTAGCTTTCGCTTATGAATTTTTTTTCCCGATTTTATTCATTATCTTTTACTATTCACTGAGTCTCAATCCTTCACGTTAAATCGTTGGATTTTTATCGTTAAAACGTAAACAATTGGATTTAATAAATTAACAAGTTGAAATAATTCGTGAGCACTCGGTCAGGCTGTGAACGATACGTCTGGGGCTCGCACCACGTGATGAAAAATCCATAGATTATCTTTTAATTTCTCTAAAGTGAATGATAAAATTTTTTAGTTAAACCAAGAAATTCAATGAGACTCGAGTGATGGCAAAATGTGTGATTGAAGAATCGTTAAAAAAAACTTCAATTATTTATAGAGAATAATAATTGTGATCAGATGCACTTGGAAGTGCTCGTGCGAGCATATGTTAGTCTTTTTTTCAATTTTTTTAAGCTTCAAAAGAAGAAAAAAACGTGAGATTGAATGAAGAATTTTTCGTGTAAATAGGTACGAATGTGATTGTTATCACCTACTCTTTGTACTCCCTAGACTAATTATGATTGTCGTGAAAAAATGGCTTTCGTGTTGATTAAAAAAAACAAACAATTGTATAGATGTCCGTAGCAAAGAGTGAAAATGGAAAAAATGCTGAGTCGATTTAAAACATGACATTTTTTTTGTTTAAATTAATGAATTAGTGAAAATTGAACGACGTACAATCTTTCCTAAGAAGAGGTAGAGGAATATTTTTCGATGACATATCAAGATTCCTTTTCCTTTCTTTTTCTAATGAGAAAAAACATTTAATAAGAAATACAATTGAAGATGAATTTTGAGATAATTTAAGCACACATGGATAGATGGACTATATTTTACTACAAAAATTGAAGAACCTAATAATATTGACTTTTTTCAAAACCAAAAAAAATAACTATCCCTGTTGGGAGCAAAAAGGGCGTATCAGGAATGGATTTAGAAAAATTGTCTTGTGGAGAAAAAAAAAATTGAAAGAATCTGAAGATCGCCCTGAAGATGCGCCCTTTTGAACTCAATTACTACCTTTTTCGTACTCTGCAAAACAATTTTCTCTTTTTTGTATTTTTTTTCTCCCTTTGTTTTTGTTGTAATCACTTGAACAGACACTAATCGACTGCGTCTGTTGTCGACTGATTAGTTTAAGTAGTTTGTCGCAATTGAATTTTTTTCGATTTATATCGTTTCTCAATTCGTTTTAATTTTTTTTAATGAGACCCACCAATGAAGAGGAATAGGTAAAAATGGGATAGACCATTTCAAGTTGATTCTGCGTGTGTGAGGGGAGATATTGTTTCTCTGCCAAAGGAAAATGGAATTTAATAGAGTGGAGGGAGAATGAGATGGAGATGAGTGATGAAAAAAAATACCGTGCGTTGTTCTGTATAAATTTTGTACCATAGTTTGTATGAAATAAAGAAAAATGAAAATACATTGTTTATTGCTTGGAAAATAGTGGGGTTTTATTGGTGTTCACAACCTTTTGATTGTTTGAAAAAATTACTGAATATTCAATAAAACGCTCTAAACCCTATGAAATGAAATTATTTCGATAGTGTTATCTCAGGAATCTGTTTTTATTAAGTATTTTTGAATTCAGGGCCTTTTTCATTGGAAAATTATTCAGAACAAGTGATGATTTGAAAATACCAAACTCTCAAAACTCAACCTTCAATTTCAAAGATTTGCGTTGACTTCGAAGACGCTTTTGCCACAGCAGAAGGCGATCCTCGGTAGCGGAGGGTGTTTGAGGCTCCTCTTTTGCGGTTTGGAACTAGGAGGGCCAATGTCGATGCCGTAGACCCCTCCAGGAAGTTTTTTCACCGCAGATATTGTCTGTAAGGCGTCATAAAAAATTGCACGCGGCTGTATCTTCGATACAGCAGTAATTGTACGTGGACACGTCCATGGTCTTTCCTTCTTTCTCCAATTTCCTAGAAACTCCTCGAATTCCCTCGAATTTTCCGAAAACTTCTTGAATTCTCTCAAATTTTCTAAAAACTCCTTGAATTTTTTCGAAATTTCAAGAAACTCCTCGAATTACCTCGAAATGTCTAGAATTTTCTAGAATTCCGATAGATGGCGCTGCACATAAGGACCGTTACCCAAAATGACCCCCCATATTGAAACCATAGACGTATCCACGTCAATATCTACACTGACCTTACCACTGCACCAGATATTTACACTCTTTACTTTATACGATGTTAACTCTGTTTGCCAATCTACAACTGACGGCAGATCGTGCCGATCCGCCTTTTATAGGAAATTTTGAATCTAGAAATTTCTGCACTGGAATTTTCTATGACTAACAACCTGGCAGTATCTTACCGATCGATCGAAGCTTGGTAATGTATCGACAGTTAGCATCGCCGATAGATGGCGCGGCTGCATAAGCATTTATTTACCGAATGACCCCTCAAAACAGATCCGATCAATTGTATAGATCAATTATATTAATTATATTAATTTGAGCCCAAAAAAACATTCATATCTTGTCTGACATCTCTGCTACAAACTCTGGTCATCAACTCTGGTTTTCAGTTGAAATTGGAATTGTTAATTTACCCAATAATAGGAGTGCATTGATGATTTTTTCTCAACTCGCAAAAATCTTCAAACAATTTGCTACCGATTGGTTATAAAATTTTTTGGAAATAATGAAATAGGGGGATAACGCCTTTTTTTTCAGGGGTGATTTTTCAAAAATTTATTTTAAAAGTACTAACTAGCAAATGTTTTTTATCAGCTCGCAATTTTCTTCAAAACTACTTCAATGAGGAAAAAAATAAAAATTTGGAATATCTATACATGAGGGGCTAATTGATCGGATCTCCCAAAACGAAACCATAGTCGTATTCAAGTCAAAATCGCGGGAAATCATGGGTACTTACCGTTTTCGAGGTTAAATCGATGATTCTGAATAAATTAGAGTCACACCCACCGCAAGCAATGAAAGAGCTACCGATATATTTCCCAGCGTAGAGAAGGGACTCCCAGGGGTCCGGTTCCAATGTCGTTATAAGTTTTCCTGTTCTGTAGTCCCATAGTTGGATTGTATCTGTTTTCGACCACGCGCACGTGAGAATCTGCACGAAAAAATGACTGAATATTCAATAAAACGCTCTAAACCCTATGAAATAAAATTATTTCGATTGTTTTACCTCAGGAATATGTTTTTATTATGTGTTTTTGGACTTATGGGGCTACTTTCATTCGAAAATATTGAAGAAGAAGTGATGATTCAAAATCGGAAAATGAGGTATTTTGACTCACGTCTTTCCCATCTTGACTGATATCAATGCTATCTCCACAAATGTGAACTCCACTGATAAATCTAGAAGAGTGAGGCTCTCTAATATCCCAGAATTGTATCGTATCGTCCCATCCACCGCTGATGAATTCGTGAGGACATCTAGGATTGAAGCAAGCGGCGAATACTCGAGACCTGTGACCGTTCATCGTGTCTGGAGCATTGCTGCAATGAATAATATTTTCATTCGTAATATCGAGCAAAAATCCACTCCTCAACGTCATTATTCGAGAATTCAGGGCTTTTTTTAAAGGAAATAATGCCATTCTCATGAACAATGCCAGTGAATAGTGAATAATTGAGTCTTCATGAGCGTTTGGAATTTTTTTTCAGGCATTTTTCGCGGGTTCTTGTACCTGGCCTGTAATATTCGCTCTAGTGTCTTCGTCTCCTCGTCATAAACACACAACTTCGTATCGTCGCCGACAGTCACAAACTTCGGAAGTGTCGGGTGATAAGCGAGACCTAGGGTCTGTCTATTTTCACGAATTGTGTAGAGACAACGGGCTGTGGGGTAGTGCCAGCATTTCACACATCCAGTGACATCTGATGATCGATACATTGGAGGAATATCGTTGCGTATTATTAAGAGGCCGCGGGAGTAAAAAATGCGGGGAAAACTGCGCCTTAAATTCTACGGCGGAATTGCCATTTTATATTTTCCGCATGCAACGGGTTGAGGATGATCAGCAGAGGATAAATAATTTTGAGACATGTTCAAAAATACGAAGTGGGGGCACCGCCATCTTGAAAATCTCTTGGGGCGTCCAAGTAAGATGGCGGCGCTTACATCTGTTATCCACTTCGCATTTTCGAATGCTTCTTAAAATTATTTGTACTCTCCGAATTATCTTCAACTCGTTTCATTCACTTCCTAGAAAAGGAACAAATTTTCCAAGTTATTGCCGCATAAATATAAATATCGCAATCATGACAATAACTTGAACTATTTCCTGAACAGTTATCACTAAATAATAATATCATGAAATAATGATTATGAAATGAAATTAATTACAAGTTGCTGATAGGGTTTGAGTCACCGGAAGCGCCCCCTGAACAGGTCGATGTTTAATGGCAGTAGTTGCCCCAGGGTTCTGTTTCATTTCGTCATCCCTCAAAGTCGTATCAAATTTTCCAGTTTTTGTATTAATTAATCTGACTGTTCCATCGGCGAGACCCACCCCCAAGTGATCAAACGTCTCGGTGTAGGACAGACACAAAATTTCTTGAGTGCCTTCTCTTTAAATATCGAAACAGAGATCATGAATCATTGATGGATCAGTTGAACTGCTCAATTAGTTGTCTCTTCAGGTGATGAAACATACATCTGACTTACGACATTGATATCTCCATCCAGGAACAACCCCTGCTCCACCTCCGCAAGCCTGCTCGCCTCATCAAAATCTCCAGTCTGCAAATAAGCTTTTGTGACGGCATAACTGACTTTATGGGATCGCGATAATTTTCTCGAGGGTAATGTTGAGGTCCGGGGCATGGACTCTCTACTCTTAGAGGTGCTTGGGTGCATAGTCACTGCGGATGGCCTTATCGATCTCCTCATTACGATCTTGATTCAGAAAATAACAAGTAAAAGGTTCAAGTTGTAGATTTTGAAGATTAAAAAAAGTCGAGTTGTCGAAATGAAAATTGTTATGCAAGATCAGAGGTTGGGATGTGCCATAAATCTGGGAAACGTCAGGTTGCATGTATCTGAGAAAGATTGTAATAAAAGAAATATTGCTCACAAAACAAGAGGTCGAAAAAAATGATTCCAAAATGAATATTAATTTCCAAACTCTAAAACAATATTTTTTGGCTTTTCCAAATGATTTTGCTAAATATACGCCATATTAAAAGTATTAAATTATAAAAAAACTATTAGTTCTTGAACTATAAAATTCCATTCCTAAACTATCCCAAATTATTCCCAAATGATTGGAATTCGTTTCATCCGGAAATTGATTATTGCATTCTATATTATCAGCACAAATTTTTCATCAACTGCAGGTCACTATACATGCACGAATAAAAACGAAATCTCCCTTATCGCAGACGTGATGTCATTTTTTAAATTAGAAATAATACGTTATGTAGAAAATCAAATACAGGAATAATTAATTGGAGAATGGCGAATGAAAGAGACAAAGACACAATATTTTCTTTGAATTGAACAATGTCCATTATATTTCATATTTTATTCCCACATACACACGGCACGTTGTGAACCTTTTTTTTTTTCTTAAATATTAATAATATTATTCGCAATAATTCTTGTTGTTGTTTGTCATCTCATAATTAATAATTGATGATAATTAATCGTCATTCGCAAATATTCAACCAAGAGATCCAAACGATAATAAAACGTAATATGAATTCATTAGATATTTATATATGTATATTTTTTATAATAAATCATATTGTAATAATAGTATTATATCATATATTTATATGTACAGAGGGGTACAATATTGTTTATTCTTTTTGTTAATTTTTATTAATTTTTTTTACCTTTTTCAGTAATGTTTATATTTATAACCGCAATAGTTATTCCTCATTTCCTCTTGTTCTTGTTGTTCTTTGTATACATACATTATTAATTTTATCGTCGGCCCGTCATTGTGTCTTCATTAGTTTAAGTTTATCCACCTAGTCGTGTTTTCAGTAATTAATTATTATTTCACAGCTAGGTAGGAGCCATTATTGATTTTAATCCTTTTAAAAATTGTTTTTTTTAATTATTATTTTTCTTCTTTCCACTTCGCACTTGATCAAGCGCAAGCAGGGATGAGAGGGGTAGCCTCGCAATTTCTTTAGTTATGGATTACTCTATTCATTACTTTAATCAATTAATTCTTTCAAATTTTGTATTTCGATAATGGGCTGGCTTCATTATTTCATTTCATCAGCCCGTTTTTTAAAAATTAATCTCCCGCACATCACGTTTTGTAGCTTCTTACAAAACTTCCATTATAGTCTGGACCATTTTTTAATCGTTTTCAGTTTGAATAGAGAGTCGATTGCTGTCGATTTTGTGAATTAGGTTGGGATCACGGGAGATAATTATTTTCACGTGATCACACACGTCTTTAGTCACTTTATTAAAGCTGAGGGAAGTTTAGTTATTACTATTATATAGATTCTTTCCAGGGCTGGGCACTATTTCGTATTTATCTATATACTCTTCTTGTCAACTGAGATAAAATAGATAATTTATATTTCTTGCCGACGGAATGAATAATAATCGGCTAGAGTCACGGAGGCTCAATAGTTCTCGGATACGCATGTGTTCCAGTTATGGAAATATTCTGAATAATGAAATTAAATAATTTAAAATAATTTCGATGAGTCATTTCAACTAGTATCATTTCATTAATGATATTTGATGACTATAAATTAGCAATTAGTCACGAATATTGTAAATGTTGATTTAAATTCTGACCAGCTCTGGATTCTTCAAATGTTTTATCAATATTGCTAGTAAATTTTATCTTATATTTATGCTTTCATTGAGAATCGCGCGGTCGTTGGGGTTTCATTAATCAAAGAAAGTGATCGATCACGTTGAGAATCAATTATGTAACCTCGTGCTAACGTATTTCAATCCAATTGTTTTCTTCTTCGTAATTTGACGCTTTTTAGAATATATTTCTTCGACCCTCGGCTCTCTCTTCAAATGTTGGACCTTATTTTATATATTATTTTTTTTCAACTTTTTCTTATTTTTTTCATAAATATTCTGTACAACGTTATAATTATAAATCATTCATATTCTCTTATGAAGTAGACTTATCAGTTATTTCATTATTATCGGTAGTGTAAAATTGAAACTTTACGTTACTTACGTAAGTAGATAGATTACCGTTTTTTTTTTATTCTGTTATTAATGTTTTCTTTCTTAATCTGTCCTCTCCGCGTCATTCGGCCTCTCGAATCCGGCTTTTTTTCATTCTCGTCGGCTCCTCATACGCAATACATCATTAATTTATTTAATATGTCACTATACGTATTTGTATTGTTGTATTTAATTCTTTTTATTTCACTTTTACGATTAGTAAGAATATGTAAAATTGGTATTATTTCTTTTCTTTCTTCCTTCATTTTGCGTCTGCAGTATTTCTTCAATGATTTTTTTATTTCTCTTATATCATCGCCTCAGGGTTGAAAGGGCGTATGTTTTTTCATTCATTTCCAATCGATGCATTTATGCTTCTGATGAATTTTTTATTTGACGAAAAAAATTATACGTGATAAAAGGGCATATCTGGAGATGATCAATACTAAAAGGGCGTATGTCCGGCACATATAACCCTTTGATTCCAACATATTTTTTCACGAATTCAGTGGAAAAAGGGCAATTTTGAAACTGATTTTATTAAAATGAAAAGGGCGTAAGTGTGGACATACGCCCCTTTCGTTCTGAAGACCGGCATTTCTGGAGATACGCCCCTTTTACCCTACGACGACGAAATGATCATAAAAATGGCATAATTCTTCAATTATTCCGATGTTTCTATCGCCGCGTTTGTACCGTCCACAATTTAATGTTTTTATCTCATCATTCACGCTTTCATCATTTAATTTACATTTTTATGAAGGGGAGGAGGGGGCAGGGGGCGTTGGTGTCCATTTGCATTAGGCGCTTAATCAGACGGAATCAAAGGAATTGCATAATAACACGAAAATAAGTGATTTTAATAGAGAATTATTATTCAATTTTTCGCTCATGCAAATGATAATTAATTAATGAATTAATTCGTGAATGTTTAGTCGGCTTCCACTCTCTCTCCGCCGTTCGTTCCTTAATTTAACATCTTATAGATCACTCTGATATGTGAACGATTGAAACAAAGGGATTTTCTCTTTTTTTTTATTCGAATTGAAATCATTAATTGAACACACATGTCCGATAATTTTTTTTATTTCGACGGTACACGAATCACGGCATCGATCCATTTATTATTTTCACGGGAATAAACCTCGGATTATTAATCTAATTGTTTAGTTATTGAAGCACGTGTGTTTGCGTCAGATAAAATTCTTATGTACAAATTCATCATTTTATGAGTTACTTTGGGTTTATTAGATTATGCAAAAACAAATGTTTATGGTTATTAATTTGAAATTGTAATTGTTCAGTGATGAAAATTGAGGTCTTCTGAGCGATAATAAATTAACATAATAGGTGATAAGAGAAGTAATGCCACCTTTTGGAAACTCTAACCGATTTTTGAAGCTATTATTTGGTTAAAAAATTGTTTCAACAATTTAACGTGAATTTTAATCTCTGCGCGATTAATTGAATGAATAAAATCACAACTCATGTCATTCGTTTATTTATTCATTTATTTATCTCATGGGGTCCACGTGTAATTACCAATTGTTTATATTCATGTTATATAATTATTTCAACGGGCGCCCGATTATAATATCTATTTACAAATATTGCATTTGTTTATCTTCATTCCATTCTTTAGCGACGATTTAGAAAATGAAAAAAGGAAAAATTGTTAAATAATAACGAGATGGTATTTTTTTGTAATGACAATAATATTATTATGATTTATTTTATAATAAATTCAACAGAAAAGAAAATGATAAAACAAGTATTTTCATATAATAATGAAAAATCAGACAAATAATAATTAAATTTTAATTAAATAAAATACGCTGGATCGTGCGATCGTATACTGATCGGTTTTTCATCGTTTCGCCATTTTCTTGATTTTTTTTTGTTAATTTTGTTCAATCGGAGAATTGTACATTCTCGACGATAAATGGCGGGTTAATTTTTCCTTTTAATTAATGGTCAAAAATTGCCTATCTAGCCTATAATCCACTCGGTTCTTCTCAACTTGTTCGTTATTTTTAATTATTCTCTTCTGTTCCTTCGACTTTTTATTTTCTCACACATACAAAATTCATTCACACACTCACAGTTTATTAATTATCTCACAAAAACGTGACGAATAGTATTCGCACAACAATCTCACTCTCATTATTTTTCATATCGTTTTGTTTTTCTCATCTCGTGTTTTTGTCTCTCAATTTTTTTTCCATTTTCCTCGAAGAAATTCACACTGTTTAGAACGTCTTTGTAAACATAAATATATAATAAATATATTTATTCATATGCCGCGAAAATTGGCCGCAATATTCTTTGTCCGTGTCAAAATCATTGACTATCTAGACTTCACTATTTTTAATTTATTCATTTCTGTTATACTCTAATCGACGCTGTTTTTTAAAATTTCCTTTTAGATCAAGCCGTGACAATTAAATTACAATAAATGTGAAAATTTGTGATTTCGTTAATTTCATTTTGGGCTTTTTTGGCGAACGGCGAAGCAAAGGTGCTGATGATTACTCATTTTTGCAATGTTTGTTTGCTTTTTTCTCGGTTTGTGTGCTCGTGTGCCTATGAAAAATGCTATCATCATTAATTTAATCTTTTGCGGATGAGATTTCTCTCATTGTTTTTAAAATTTCAATTTTTTCGACGAATTTTCCCAACTCTTGTGAAAGGATAAACATAACCTGAAACAATTGATTCTCGGTAGCATTTTGTGACCAGAGCTGGGCACTACTTCATGAGAATCGAATGAAAATACAATTTCAAATGGATCTTTCAACTTGACTATTTGTTTATTTGTCTTTCTGAAACTGTTTCACGACTGCAAAATAGTAATCAGTCCCGAATATTTCGCATGGCATTGTTTGTCCCAGCTCTGTCGTCAACACATCAGCACCCACTTTGGCCAGAGAGACAATGATAAAATGAAAATTATGAAAAATTTAAGAATATCGTTCATTAGAATATCTAATTACTTGAAAAATCAAAGATTAATTGAAATATCTCTCCGAGCATTTCAAAATAGTCCCTCGTCACTTCGCAATTTTCTCTTTGAATTGGTTTCTCGTGTAATTATGTTTAATTAAATATGTAGTTTATAATATGTTGGGTTTCCCTCGCTTTTAAATTTTTTATTTACTATCGTATATGTATAATATTTATATATTTATATAGAATCGAGGGAGAGGAGGCGAGACGGAATTTTGCTGTGACAATTTTTCCTCTATTTTGTTCTCAATAGTTCTCCCGTTTTCATATTTTTTAAAATTATTTATTTCCAGCGTAAAAAAATCGCAATAAAATTTATGATTTTTGTTACGATTTCAGTCACGAGCGAAATTCCATCACGTCGTCTTCCCCCGCAATTTTTTATATGATCGGTGATCCAAAAAATTACAATACAATATTATATCAGCATTCATTTGTTTAAAACATCAATAATTATATACAAATGCATAAAACAATTTCATTTTCTTTTATATTTCTGCCCCCATTTTCGGTTATCAATTGGTAAATCAACTTAGTCTTTAATTCATATATAATGTTAATTGATTTTTATTAATTATTTTTTTTAATTTTTGCCATTCTATATTCATCTCTCACGCGTTCAAGTATTTTTTGTTTCTTTAAAATTGATTTTAATTATTTTGTTTTGCCGGATATAGTCATAGACGTAATAATTCAATAGTTATTTTTATCATTATATATAAACTTATGGACTGTACTCGTATTTTTCCTCTTTGTTTGTTTACACTCATTGCCCGTCCATTTTGCCACTCCATCGTTCTCATCTCTCAATTAATAATTGATCGTTAATTGTTGGTTATAATGCTTTATATATATTTTGTTTTATTTTTCGAGGCTGTGGAGAGCCTCAGATCGCCCGAAAAATGTTACAGCGTTTTTTTTCTTTTATTTCTAACGTGTTCGTTACATTTTTTGAAACGTTATTTTTGCATCAATTCGTATAATCTACGAATTTTCAGTGTTTTATTTTTAGTTTGTTTCATTGAGCTGGTGTTATATCCTTGTAGTGTTGCTTTATTATTAGCCCTCTCGTCCTCTCCAATTTTCTTTATTACATTCACCTTCAATCACTCACTCTTCCCCCTTTTGTTTTAATTCATTTAATTGCATCTGGCTAAAATTGTTGCTACTTCTCATCAGTTTTTTATTTGCTTATTCTTGCTTCATTCATTTAATTAACAAAATTAATTGCTCTTGAATTAATTGCGAAGCTATTTAGAGGTTTCCTTTTTTGACGGTAAAAGAGCGCCATCTTTATATAATATTTATATATTTATTTTTTTTCCTTAATTTGTAAATATATTTTATTTCTTATTCGTTTTATGGTAATTTTTTTTTATCTTACGGATGTTGTTTTTTCTTCTTTTCCTTCTCGTCGCAGGCGGAAACAAAGAGTTAAAAATTCGACGCCATTTTGTTCGCTGATGAAAATCATTGAAAGTAATTGGTAATTAACGGAAGCTGAGACCCTTGCAGAAACTTGATTTCTCGTATTTTTTTCTTATTATCCTTATCCGGAGACACTTTGTTTTTACGTGAGTGTTTTCGTGTTTTTTTTTAATGTGTAAATCAATTTTCTTGGATGCCAAGTGCTTTTTTTTGGTCCAATGTATAATTTTTCTTTTATACACGCATTTTAGTTAGGTTAGCCACCGGGACGTGGCGGCCATTTTGTTGTGAATTCTTACTGCAAGAATTCTTATTTTCTCCTTTTCTCATCGAATATTCAATGTATTTAATCCAGTTTTATTTCATCCACTGGCTAATGTTGACAGTTGAATTGACACCAGGCAGAATTTGCCCCATCCCCTGCACAATTATTTTTCACGACAAAATGGCCGCTGTCTCGTCGTCGACAGATACGCGTCCCCAGGCATTACACATTTTTCTTATTATTTTTACCCTGTTGTTGAATACAATATAACCGTTTTTTTATCATAATTCATCATACATATATTCACATTATAATAATTTTATTTGAAAAATTTAATAATAATAGTCGTAATAAATAGTTAATAATTGCGTCAACAAAAAACAAGATATCTCGCAACCGCCATATTTCTTTTCTCACGGTTGCATCATTTTTAGATCTTAAAACCTAACCTAAGGAATTTAAGTTTTCACTCTCATCGAGCAGCTTTCCCCAGCAAATTAATCGTTTCATCCTCATTGCAAGTGCTTTGTGCAATTGAAAAAAAAAATGGCTTGTCTTTTTCCTTGAAATCATAGTGTTGGGTATTGAAACCATGTTTAATGTGTCTCCGTATTATCCTCCGTGACTTTAACCACTGGCATATCAGAACAAACAATGACATTTGAAACAAATCAATTATGTATCGTGACTGGATCAATGCAAACAAACTCATCATTCTTCAGTATTTATATTCTTCGCGCGCGTGTGGTAGTGAGGTTCCAAGAGAAAGTAATCGATAAATTCATTCATATATTTATAGACCTTTGTTTTTTCGTTATATATAGTGCCAAAAAATGTTCATTCCAATGAATAGGAAGACCACCTGATTTTTTTGTGTGTATTTGTCTGTACCATTTTTGCAATAATTTCTCTTCACAATACAAATAACATTAAAAAAACATTGATTCCATCATTTATCTGCACTTCCGGGAAGGAAAAGTGAGAATTATCAGGGACGAAAAATGGGTACCGAAATATAATACTCCCAAACACTGAAATATTACAATAATACAATTCAATTTTTCGAGTCATTCAGATTCACATGAAAGAATCCCGGGTGCTAAAAACATTGTAAATGAGTAAAATTTAATGAGTTAAAAAAAAAACAATGAAATCGTTAAAACTTTAATTGTTCTCCTTTGTTCGTATGTGTGTTGGTATTTTCATCCTCCCTCTCATCATCAATAATAATAATAATAATTATTCATTTTTTTCATTCTTAAGTCCTAGTGTTTCATACGTTGTCTATTTAATTATCAATTATTTATCATATATATATATTATAGACTTAACCGCTTAATTATTTAGCAATTAATAATTATTAATTTTTCTTGTTATCAATATTTTTTTTTTGTTATTTTTATTTATTATTCATTAATGTCGGAGAACGGGCGTGCGCGCAAATATATATAGAATTATATATATTTTTTAATAATTTTTTTGTTTGCAATATCCTGTTATGTTATTTCTTTTTTCATATTTTATGACAGACGCGACGTGTGATGTGTGGTGCCTGTGGTGCTGATTCTCTCTTCCCTCTCTACCGTTATCTTCAATCCCCCTCCGCTCACAAATGCTCTCTGAACATTTTGTATTTTTTGTAATTTTTTTTTCGCATTTTCCATTGTTTTTTTCAACCTTCATCTTCAACAGCTGCTCATCATTGCTGACTGGTGTTCTGGTCCATGAATCATCCGATCATACTTCGCTGCATTCACTCCCGGTGGATGTAAGCCCAACCGGAAACGATCCACTTTTTTAGAAAAATTCCACTCGCTTACCCATTGTTATTTGGGGTTCGTTTTTTTCAATGACTTTTTTTGAAATATTTTTTTTGTTCAGAGGTTGACGTCAAAGGGTAGAGGCTGAAAGGCGTCTTCCTCGTGTTGCTCGTTGTGCCATCAGTCGATCCTGCCGCGCTGTGCCCTCTCGTCCATCCTATAAACAAAAGTGTTTAAATATTTGCATGATAATAATACAATTGACTCTCTTTATAAGATACAAGTCTCACAGCGTGCGCTCGCACACCTCTAAGACGTGAGAATAGACGAATGAGATGATAGACGGAGTCAGGAGTGACAGGCTTTCGGGATATTTGCGTGACACAACTTCCGAGAAATTACCTCATGCTGTAGGAGAGGGTGGGGTAAAATGGATACTTTTGACTTTTTTTAAAAAATATTCATAACTCATTATTCATAACCGATGTACCGTTTGAGCTCAGTCTAAGCTCATCACAAAGAGGAATCATTGTTCTTTCAATTGAAAAATAAAATTATTATATTTCATGAACAATTCAACACGTCGTGAATGTATCAAAAAAAGTCAAAAGTGTCCATTTTACCCTACCCTCCCCTATATGTGGGTGTTTTCGCCAATTATTGATATGGTTTTGTACCTTCAAAAATTTAATTTTGTTGAGGCTTCTTATATGGCTTTCTTATCATTCAAAAGGTCTCAAAAAATTTTTCCAATTTTTTTCAAATTTTATTGTGCTCACAACGTTAATTTTTGAATTTTGTGAGTTTTTGACAAAATTGTGCGATTCACCACAGGTCAATTTTTTAAATCGGGTTTTTAATATGTAGTTGAAATGAGTGTCTTTAAAGTAAGAAATCTATGGCCACAGTTTTTTTTGACATGGATACGTCTATGTTTCTATTATGGGGAGCATTTCGGGAAAAAGTCCTTATGGTTCCTTATCGATAGTGGCGCCATCTACCAGAATTCTGGAATTTTCTATAAAACTCTAGATTTTTTTAGAAAATTCGAGAAAATTCTCTACGTTTTATAGAAATAAATTACAATTGTGAGGGCTCCTTAGCACTGTTCGTCAAAATACCGACAATTAGTTATTATCAAAGATACAGCCACCCGCAGATTTTTCTATTAAAAAAGAGTTACCATAAGGGTGTAATGCATCCATCAGCCCCTCAAGACACACGAGGTTATGTTTGAAACTTTAGTATCTTATATAAAGAGTCGACTGTAACTTGCCCCAGCTCTTCATTTGATGAACCAGATATGCATCGAAAACATCGAATGAACCTTTCCATTAATTTCAAACCTCAAAAATCCGACCGACCCTCCAGCAAGAAGCTATTGTCGCAACGACAGAAAACTTCCGTATTCATAAAACAGTTGACGAAAAAAACCCATAAATCTCGTGAATTACTCACATGTTATTAGGTCTTAACAAGGCTCAATGGTAGCCATTAGTAAACGCCGCCGGTATCAGGGGACCCTGGAACATCAATAAGCCCAACGTAAACAAAACGTCATTATTACATCCTCAAATATGACAAACCACTAAATTCATAAAAACATGAAAGAAAAAGGTGACAATAAAAACAGTTTAGTACCGTTAGTAATTGCGTCAGTATAAACCAACAACAACAAAAGGAAAATAATTCTGTCATTATTCGTGAGAAAAAAAAACAAATCAACAATTATGACGGAATTTCACTTACAGGACTGTAGTTGAGCGGTGCGCGGGAAACGGCAATGGCGGGAAACGCGGTGGTTGGGGGTTGTGGACTGGCCGCTGCCTGGACGTAGCTTGCAACAGCAGAATCCGCTGCTGCGGCTGCTGCAGCGGCTGCTGCACTCGAACTGTACATGTCAATGGGACCGGGTGAATTTGCAGCGGGAAAGGAGCGCCCCTGTGGACCACCATGGCCACCGGCGCCGTGTGGTGAGGCTGGTGGAAATCCAGCTTGCGCTGCTTGGTAGTTGTTCATCACTGGAAATAGTTAAACATCAAATACCTACATTCATCCACGAATTTTCCTCCATGTCATTTATTTTCATGTTTTTTTTTTGACGCTGAAAATAGAACATTTTTGTACGCTGTGAAAAGCCAATCTTACGGCCTAGGACGCAAAATTTAGTGTGCGCCAATTTCTCTTGGAGTTCGCAAATGTATTTTTATCACATTTTTACGTGAATCATTTGGCGGATGTCTAATTGGGTCTCAAACATGTATTTTACGTCCTAGGCTGTAAAGTACGGCTTTACGTCCTGGACGGTTAAACTGCTGTGGACTGAAACACTAGCTACGAAAGGGTACTGTTTGCCGAAATTGATACGAGACTATTTACGCCCTAGACCGTAAAGTACTCCTAGCGGCCGTAAAGTACAACTTTACGTCCTAAGCCGTTGAAATACAGTTGGTAATCAACCCTGCTGTCACAGAATAAAACTTCACACTCCAGTACATAAAATGAAAAATAAAATGAATTCCGTAGCCCTCCCAATCTCTAACAACTCCGAATATTAGTTGTGTTAAAAATGAAAAAAAGCATGCGACAAACACTTCACAAAGGGAAAAAAAATCCAATCGATTTGCTGTTGATTTTCGCAGCACGGAAAAAGTTTCCCAAGAATTCACCCCCCCCCCACCCAGAATTTATCGTGTGGGGTATAAGAATTTCAAACTTGCTACAGTACCTCCAGGAGAAAAAAACTGAAGAGAAATTCTCGGCGCCACATGATGACAAACCGAACGGCGTGGCGTACAATCTAAAAACCCATTCAGCTTTTAAACTCTCGACAATGGGCCGAGAGCGGTTACAAAGTTTTCCGCAACGTTGCCGGCTCTCTTCCTCGCTCCCCCCCTTTCCGCCCACCCCCCACTCCATCATACTGCGTGAACATAGGTGTGTGTGGGATGGGCCCGTAGGGCGCGCGCGATTCAAAAGTTTGATTTATTTGAAAGGAGATTGCGGACGGCAGGGGTTGGGGGATATCGCGGTTGGATTCTTCTCTCAAGTGGGGAAAGGGAATAAAAAGAAGGAGAAAAAAAAGATGAAAGGGAGATGGAAGTCGCGCATAGCCGAGGGCACAGTGTCCCACATACGGTCTAACCCGGGCAAAACGTCTTCTTCGGAGTCTCTCCCGGATGAGAGATTCATCTCGAAGCTCTCCAGAGGGCGCACTCCCCGGCCCGTGCATACACATTTGTTTTTTTTTAAATTTATTTTTGCAGGAAATCATTACGTGAAAAACTTGTGCCGTGCACGAGAATCAACATTTTCTTTTTTGTAAACGAGAACAATGGAGACATGAACAGAGAAAAGAAGTGGAGACGTACCAGAAAGAGCTTGCGTGAGCAAGGGCGTGTTGTTGTTGGGTGTGAGTTGTCCGTTGGTGAGATCCACTGAAACATAAATCTCAGATTTACAACTGTACATTTTAATTAATTTTTGTTTCGATGAATGCAACTTTTTGGGAATTGAAATTTTAGTGATTTTTTGTTCATTGCCGGTTGGAATCGACTCTATTCGCTTCATCAGGTGGTTAATCACGGGTAATTGTGATGGATAAAATAAAAAATAGGAGATGAAGAGGTGGCAGAAATGTATGAAAACGATGTGAATTCCCCTCAGCTACTTGTTTCAATTAATTTTTAGTACTAATTCATAACTATTAGAGATGTCATTTTCCCCATGATAATTTCCGGTTATGTGATGTTATAGATATTATTAATAGGTAGACTACTGTCATTTTCATCTAATCGAGACTTCATACATTTCTTCCGTAGTGCACTCCGGTGAACGTGCTGGATCGTTGTCTCCGAGTAACCACGGCCCCCACTATCGCCCCCAGTACCATGGTAATACACAGCCGGCACTCCTGACATCCAATAAAGAACAAATAAACTGATAATGAAGGTAAGATAAATCATAATGGCTGAGGTAAAAATTTTAACATGTCCAATTTTTTTTCTCATTGATTTTTTCATCTCGTTTACTCTGAAAATTACTTAATGAAAAAAAAAAAATGGGAATTTCCTATGGACGAGGTTAGGAAAATGGATTTTAGGAAGTTACTAGGTAGAGGGAAATATCCCTAGGGTGGCGGGTGATAAAATGGGTTGGTAATGCTGTAAAAACACCTGTTGCTGCACAACATTACGGGAATCGATTGAACAATGGAGTTTTTTGAGGGCAACGTAATTTGAGGCATTCAGAAAGAGTTTATACGGAGGTTAATTATTCTAATTTCTCGGAAAAATGATTGCAAAAAATTATCAGGGAAAAAATGCCGGATGATAAAATGGGTTGGTAATCCTGTGAAAACATCTGTGTCTGCATAGAATCATATAAAATGATTGAAAAATTGAGTTGAAAAGAAAAATGAAGTTAAAAAATGAAGAAAAAGTAATGTATGATGATCAAATTTTATTCCACGTTGGAGACATTTTACTCTACCAGCGCGGTAATTTTTATTTTTATCAGGATAAAATTTCTCTAACGTAGAATAAAATTTGACCATCACGTATTAATTTTTACTAAATTTCGGGGTAGAAATGAGGAAACGATGACTCATGATACACTTTTACAGAACAGTAGGATAATTTTCATCAAAAATATCTCTCCGTGTACGAGAAATAAATAAATAAAATAAAAAAGCAACAAAACTGTCTCAATTTCTTGGCTAGTTAATTAACAATTTCGACATCAGGATTTTAATTGAACAGAATAAATAAGCGAGAATAACTCTCCCCTATAGTATATCCCTCCCCCTAACACTGATATCACCCGATTGAAGAGGGACGGCGAAACCAGGGAAAAGAGAAAAGATACGGATAAGGATATACGTTGAAGAGGCCTCGCGAGAACGACTGGGAATAAAAGCGGATTACCGTCCAGTAACTTTTGTTAGCCTCGGGGATAAGTCCGTAGGAGGGAAGTGCGACGAAGAGGAAAAAAAAGGAATCAGTGGCTAAGGACATAAAAACAACTTGGGTCTGGTAGCAAAGCGCACACGGGATTTCACGTGAGAAATAATAAAAATCACGATCTCAAGTACAAGGAGAGATGGTACAATAAGAGGGTCAGGCCTTCGGCTGATGGCGTCGCGTGTATCGTGAAATCTTCGATCAGATAGAGAAAAAAATTGTTCTGCCCTTTGACCCCTTGACCTTTGAAATCAGTATCCCCTCAAAATTTCCAGAGCTTCAAGAAAAAACCCTCGATCTGGCAAAAAATAAAATTTTCAATAACCTTTGTTGATTTGAAAAACGATGTCTTGAATGGACAAAAATAAATAGAAACAATTGTTATTCTGTCCTTTGACCCCTTGACCTGTGGAATAGAATTTTCAATAATCCTTTTTTACTAAAAAAATGAGTCTGAGGGCATGAAGTACACGTCAAACAGTTTGAGGATTGAATAGGGAAAGAGAAATAAAAAAAATTGTTGTTCTGCCCTTTGACCTTTGACAATTGAAATCAGTGTCCTTCTAAAATTTCCCGAGTTTCAAGAAAAAATTCTCCATCTGCTGAAAAAATAAAATTTCCAATAAACTTTTTTTGCCCGAAAAAATGAGTCCGAGGGGATGTCGAACACGTCGAGCGTTCTGGGGATTGACTAGAGAAAAGGAAATAGAATGTCCGGATGTCACGATATGTCACTTGTCTATGCAACTTCGAGCCCTCGTTTTTTGGCGAAACTGTTGTATTTTATATCCGGAAATGGGGGAGGAAGACGTAATGGGGGGAGATAAATGAGGGATGGCTCTTGTTGTCGAGGGGTGGGAGAGAGACGTGTGTATGTGGAATGATGTAGGCCAAGAGTTCATCTATTTCGAGTATATTTCACAGCTGACGTAAAAGCGATCGAGACTGGTGGATAAGAGAGTAAAGTTCGGCCGGAGGGGGAGAGGGTGATGGACAAAATACGGTGGGATACCGTCGGCCACGATTGGTCAAGTGGATCTCAACTATCATCTCTTGGGATATAAAAAGGAGATGTGCACCGTTTGGGTTAGACGTTCATTACATATATTTTTATCGGGGGGTAGTTGGCTTGCGATGAGGGTTGGCAATGGGGGATTTTTCGATTGGGGGAGCACGGAGAGACCATTGAAATATAATTGTTTTGGACTGGAATATTGAGAATTTTGAACGGGGGAAAGAGAGAGATTACACCCAAAAAAATGATTTATTTGAAACAAATGGAGTTTATTTGAATCAACTAAATAAGTTTTGTTAAATAGTACGAAATAGAATATTTTTTCAAATTGAAAACAAATTTTTATTTGCCGTTTTATTTATATTGAATAAATATTTTCTTATTATTAATAAATGTTTATTTGATCCAAATAAATCCTCTATTAATAACAAATAGACATTTTTCTTATTATAAGAAAACTCTTTGAGATAAACAAATAGTTCACTTGATTCAAATAAACAATTCATTTAAATGAATAAATTTTTTTCTCGGATTAAATAGAAGTTCTATCTGAAATAAATGAATCCTGTCTTTGATATAATTAAATTATTTTTATCGAAACAAGTCACCAAGTTTATTCATTTATAACAACTACTTCTTTGAAATAAGAAAAAAATTTCAAATAAACATTTCTATTTGATTCAAATCACCCATTTTTTTGGGTGTAGCGAGTGCTCAAGTGTTTCACTCATCGTTCGCTTTTTGCTAGGATCACGCCGATTTACTCGCGTAGAGTGATGAGGGGAGAGGGATGATGGGGATTGTTGCAAATGGAGGAGCATGAAGGGATCATCGAAATATAATTGATCAGAATATAATTGTTTTCAAAGAATAGAGGAAACACTGAAAACAAAACGAAAGAGTCGTTACGTGGGCAAATGAACGTGATGAAAGTCATAATACAATTGTTGTTAGCCAATGGGGGTTGATTTTTCAGTTGCAGATGATCGTGTGATGGACGGATTGAATGATTTTAGTATTCAGAATTTTTAATTGTTAAAAGAGAGAGAGAGAGAGATTAGCGAGAGCGAAAGTATTTCACTTATCGTTCGCTTTTTGCTAGGATCACGCCGCGTCATTCCCTGTCTCTTTTCTCCTTTGAATATTCAAGTTTGCGATTGACAGTGATCGGGAAGGGCAAAAAGGTTGAACAGAGGACATTGTTTCAAAATACTACACGCGTAATTCTGTATTCCACTAATCTAACTGCTGTTCTAGTACTAATGAGTAATTTTACGACGTTCATGGTCAGTGTTTGTATAGCACTTTGACATTATCTAGGTATTAGGCAATTAGTTCTAGCTTCTTCCTCTCAACGTTCATATGAAAACGTCTTGATATTTACGGTTACGCTCACACACATGAGGGAATCATACGAAATCCACTCTCACTATTTCTACGGACTATTCTAAACTCTCACAACTCCTCGTCTCACTACTATTTCTCACTATGAGCCTTTAATTGTTTACAAAAATAAAATTATATAGACATCGACACAAAATGACGATAAAAAATATATTCAGTACACAATGTTATAAATATTACTTCGATATTCTGATGTTATTTCATCTGAAATATTGTCTAATTTTATACGGAAACAAATAATTTCAATATTCAACACAACAGCATCACTACTGAACTCTCTGGTAATCTAAAAACCAAAATTTTTATGAATTTGGAATATCTCTAATATTCACTACGACGACATAATTCAGATTAAACTCTTGTCCACTAATATTGGGTTTCATTATTCTTCTGATATAGTTCTTTTAAAGTTAGATTGGTAGATATTACTCGCCGCTAGGTGGCTGTGGCATCATCAGGACAGGCTCTTCCCTCTCATTACTCATGATTTATTTTCTGGCCGACGACGGACCTCTCCGTTACGCTCTTCCTCGTTTTCAATATTTTCATATTTATCTGATTTATTGAATTCATAAAACTTCTTGACACATCCCCCCCCTGCGAGGTAATATTCACTTCATGACGGCTGACAGTTTTCACTAGAACTACCAGATACACAACATGCATCAAATTTTTGTCAACTCAACATTTCAATTTTTACGTAATGAATTTCAACAATTTTACGGCATTTTTCGCATGCTCGGTCTAGGTTCTAGTGAAAACTATGCATGATTTTTATTTATAATCAACAAAACAGTGATAGCTCGGTCAGCCAACGAGTCAAAGTGGAAGTAGTTGGAAAATTCTAGATACTATGAGCTAGGCCAATCCATCCAACATCATTTCAATATACGGGTAATAATTTATACATATATAGCATTATATTTATTGTCTCAACGCGAATTTTTTCATGATTGATCTGATGCGGGGCCCTGCCCTCTTCATCGAAGCAACAAATTAATCAATAGCGACGACAAAAGCCATGTGGAGGAAAAAATGTTTTTCATAAAATTGTTCCCCATTTTTTTTTTAATATTTGAAAGTGGAGTAGATTTTTTAATTAAAAGTCACTCAGCTTAATTGAAACATGAATATCTCGAGTGTTCAATTGTGTCGCATTAATGAAAATGTTTTCCCCCCCCATTGGACAGCGAAAATTTTCATGAAAACGCACCTTGCGGTTGTCCCTGAGTACCGTAAAGGGGTTTTACAACCGATGTATTGAAATAATTACCCCAAACTTTGCACAATTGTACTTGCCCTCGTGCTCACAGAGGTTTAGTGCTTCACAGATTTACCAGCAAAACTAATGGACGATAAGTTTTTGTTATCCGTTATATACCCGACTGGTTCTTACGCCCACGGGGACATAACCTCTCACGAGTTCTTGCTCAACACTTTATACCAGTGTTTTGCGTGTACGTGAGATAAAGACAGAATAGATATAACGTATATATGTATGTATCTACGGTGGCTAAGGATTACGGTTACCGT